TAATGAGTCATGCTAGCTGGGAAAACCGTATTATATACAGTTGGTAATAATAATAATAATAATAAACGGTTTATTAATCGAGTTGCAGCCGGTGGCTGAAAATTTACAGACTTACATTTGATTTAGACATAATGATATAATACATGTGTGTGTGTGTGTGTGTGTGTGTGTGTGTCCCTTATGCATTTCTACAGGTTTTTGTTTTTACAATAAACTTGAAATATGGTAAGGAGGTGCGAGTAGCCTCATGGATGGCCGGGTACTGTCTCCCCCTCCACCCGGGCACATTCGGGGTAACTGAACTACTGTACCTAGTACGGCAATATAGTGCGGTACATGCTGATAACCACAAGGAAACAAGAAAACACGAAGTTCCCAAGCGCTTTCGTGTAATTCACATCTTCAGGGGTGAGTATGTAGGAATATATATACAGTAGAGGAGAGTGAGATCAAGTCCGGTCACTACCTAGTGACCTACTAATATTAGTAGGGTCACTACCTAGTGACCGGACCATTGTGGACACTCACTGTTCCCTAGGGACCTGGTCTCACCCTCCTCTGTATATATACACCTTGTTATGTATTTCTCCTTAGTCTGTACTCACCCCTGAAGATGTGAATTACACGAAAGCGCTTGGGAACTTCGTGTTTTCTTGTGGTTATCAGGATGTACCTGGATCACGCGCACCTACAGTGATTTAGTTGCATAGTGTGGTACATATATAGAGTGTCCCAGAAAAATGTCCTTACCTCCCTCCCTCCAACTCAGTGTTTCAGGAAGCAGGCAGGCAGGCAGGCAGGGAGGCAGGGAGGGAGGGAGGGACATTTTTCTGGAACACCCTGTATAAGAACATAAGAAAATAAGGAGTCTGCAATAGGCCGGTTGGCCTGTGCATGGCAGCTCCTGTCGAGAGTTACTACCACTCTCTATCATCCATTAATCTATCTAGCCTCCTTTTGAAACTTTCCAGCGTTCCAGCACTTACTACATAGTTGCTAAGCTTGTTCCACTCGTCCACCACCCTATTTGTGAACCAGTTCCTTCCTATCTCCCTCCTAAACCTAAACTTATCCAACTTAAATCCGTTGCTCCGAGTCCTATTCTGCTCGGATATTATAAGAACTTTATCTATATCCCCTTTATTGATTCCTTTCACCCACTTCAATACTTCTATCATATCTCCCCGCACTCTTCGTCTTTCTAGGGAATGCAAGTTAAGTTTCTTTAACCTATCCTGATATGGAAGGTTTCTAAGTCCCGGAATCATTTTTGTCATTCTTCGCTGCACCGACTCTAGTGAATTGATATCCATTCTATAATAGGGGCACCAGAACTGAACCGCATAATCGAGGTGCGGCCTGACTAGCGCAAGATATAGTTGCAATAAGACCTCTGCACTCTTGTTACTTACACTTCTAGATATAAAACCCAATACTCTGTTTGCCTTATTTCGAACATTAACGCACTGTTTTCTAGGCCGTAGGTCCGGGCTTACAAGTACCCCTAGGTCTCTTTCACAAGTCGACTTCTCTAGGTTGATGTTGTTAGGCTGTATACATTATAAGTATTTGTTCTTCCAATATTAAGTACGCTGCACTTGCTGGTGTTGAATTTCATTTGCCATTTTTCAGACCACCCCTGCAGTTTATTTAGATCCTCCTGTAATGCATTTGCATCCTGCCCTGAATTAATTTGCCGCCCTATTTTGGTGTCATCCGCAAACTTGCTTATGTCACTGCTGATCCCAGTATCTAAATCGTTTATGTAGATTATGAACAAGAGTGGGCCTAGTACTGACCCCTGGGGAACCCCACTGGTTACACGGCCCCACTCAGATTTAACACCATCTACGCTCACCCTCTGCGTTCTATCGGTGAGCCATGATTTTATCCAATTTAAAACTTTCCCCTCGATACCATGAGCCTTAATTTTTCTCAGAAGCCTCTGATGCGGTACTCTGTCAAATGCTTTGCTAAAGTCTAAGTAAATAACATCGTAATTTTCGTCATTATCTACTACCTCGAAGACTTTCCTAAAAAACGTTAGCAGATTTGTTAGACAAGATTTTCCCTTTGTAAACCCATGTTGAGAGTCGTAGATTAATTTGCTTTTCTCTAGATGCGATCGGATGCTATCTGCTATAATTGATTCAAGAAATTTCCCCACTACTGACGTCAAACTGATCGGCCGGTAATTTGACGCTGATGCTCTGTCTCCCTTTTTGAATATGGGTACAACATTTGCCTGTTTCCACAACTCTGGCACAACTCCAGTGTAACTGTAGTGTAACAGTTGGTTAATAAGAATTCTATATGTGGAAGCTTTCATTAATTTCTAAAGCTTCTCTAATTAGTTACAGTATAAGACAGGATGTTTCAACATTACACTAATTAATTATTATTAAAAAAATATTACAAAACGAATGAAACGTAAAAATTTGAGGAGTATTTTATATATATTTATGTACCCATTCTTAAATTTCTGTTATGTGTTATCTTAATATTTTTCAATTTGTCTTTTTCGATTTTTTGTATTAAACACAGCGACACCTCTATATAACGGATTCTTTGTTCATATAATCCGTTCGATGGGGGAGTTTGATATTTAACGGACTTTTGATATAACGGACTTCCATCATCTTAGAGTCTGTTAAATAGAGGTTTCAAATCTAACAGACCCTCGATATAACGGACTTTCATCAATTCAATGTCAATTTCAATTGTTTATTCCTTGATAGAGGAAGCGGGATCCTAGTGCCGTCACTAGGTACCCCTGTACAATGACACCAGAAGCATCTGGCAAGTGTGACAAGTATATACAGTATAAATATTATAAAGGGGGCTTACTAAAGCCTAAGGAAGGAAGGATATTCCTTTAACACATAATCGATGTTATGTACATAATATCTGGCCAGTATGGGGAGGATCATCGTGTCTCCGTCAGGGGGTCGTGGAATGGTGGTCCAGCAGGCGTCACGGAAGCGTTGTGTGTGGGGACATCTTAGGAGGTAGTGGATAAGGGTGCTGCTGTCGGGTCTTCTGCATAATGCACAAAAGTGTTGCTCAGGGGATGCGGGGATACCAATCTCCCAAGCAAAGTCATACCCAATGATGATCCGGGCAGCAATCACGTCCCTTTTCCGCGACCCTTTCCCATAGACATACGAGAGGTCAGGAAGTTTACGGAGGACATCGTACCAGGTGGGCGGGGAGTCCGGGGGGATGGCTGCTTCCCCAGCTTCTCTCTGTTTGCGGCGAATTTGGGTCCTAAGCTGTAAAAGTGTTCAAGGAATAACGTAGTCAGGTGTGGCCTTGTTGCAGCCAGTCTTGGCAAGGCCATCTGCTGCCTCATTCCCCAAGATACCGACATGACTGGGTACCCATAGGAATGTCACAGGACGGCCTGCACCCTGTAGTGTGGATGCTAACCCTCGTATTCGGAGGATGAGGTCCTTATTCTCCCCCGATCCAAATGTGATCCCGTCGAGAGTTGACCTGGAATCGCAGCAGTCAAGCAAGGGGCAGAAACCATCTGCTTCTTCCTCAGCGAGAAGGGCAGCAAAGAGGGCTATCAGTTCAGCCTGGGTGGAGGATGCCCCGTCAGAAACACTGAGAGACAGTTTGATAGGCTCGGACTTCCATCTCTATATAGTTCGCTAGATGAAGGTTTCACGTCGATATAACGGACTTTCTTCGCCATACAATCCGTTAAATAGAGGGTTTTTCCAATACGAATAATATACAAAATTTACAAATTAAGTTTAACTTGTCTTTAATAATTAATGTGATAGCGTTACAGTATATACTCAAGATCAGGTACAGTACAGTATGGATGGTTAGATGTTAGTCCATTGACGTATACAGGAAAGTTAGTCTTCCTTCCGTGAGAAGATCCGGGAAAATACACCCGGAAGGCCTCTCCTCTCCCCCCCCCCCTTAATTGCGCATCTAGATCCGCCACTAATTATTTTCAACTGTATTTTTTTCTGTCTTTCTCTCTCAATTTATTCTCACTCTCTCGGTTAATAAAATACAAACAAACACACACACACACACACACATGGTGTTTGTCTCACACAGAGGAGAGTGAGTCAAGTTTGTATGAGGAAAGATCTGAATTAAATAAGTCGTTATCTCTTGTGAACAGTTGTATAAAACATTACATTTTAGTGTGTGTATAAATAAGTCGGCAGCCCGAAGGCTGAAAATATACTGGTACATTAGTCAAAAATGACTTATTACATACAAAGACATGGGGTGAGTGGGTCGTTTAACAAAAGCTTTCACTACTAAAAAAAAGAAGGAACAATGATTGAACATACAAATTATTATAGTTTACAGTTGATGGCCCGGGCGTGGGCTGGTCATTGAGACACCAGGTGGTGAGGTGTTCACGTGGTGTAGTAACTTGTCCTCTGGTGTTGATATGAGGGACCTCACGTGGTCATGGAGACACCGTGTGGTGTGGGGTGGTGTCACAGTACCTCACTGCGCGGTGATGTTGTGTTATTCCGTAGTCAGGTGCACAGCCGGCCGGCCCTCTGTTGTTCCCAGGGTGGACGGATTAGCACCTCCTGGTCAGAAGATGGTGGTTAGTTCCCGTGGGTGCTTATCTCACTGGTGGGTCACGGCTCTCACTGGTACTGTCTAGTGCTGAATTTGTCACTTTTGATTATGTAGATATCTCGGTGGTGAGGATGGGTTGGGGAGAGGGTCTTGGGGAATGGGCCGACATTGGCCAAGGGGGGCAGCTGCGTAGCGAGAGCAGCGCCTAAATAGGTCTTGACCCTACGGTGGTCAAGGATGTAGTGTGTGTGTGTGTGTGTGTGTGTGTGTGCGTGTGTATGTATGTATTTTTGACGTGGTCTAATTATTCTGGACTGACCTTACCTTAGGTCAAATAAAGTCACCAGTCATTAAAGTCTATAAAACATAGTAGTTAAGGTGAATCAAGGTCAGTTGGCCACGCCCACTAATTGATTGACCTGTTGTATCCTCAGCCGTGGGCGCCCCTTGGCACTGTCCGTGACCTCTCCTGTCCTGGGTTGACCTGCCAACATGCAGCCCTCGGACAGCGAAGACGAGGTCGATTCCCCCGACGGCCCGGGGTCATCCCACATCCCCCCGACCATCTACGTCATCAAGGTAGGTCAAAGTAGAGACTAACATTTAAGGTTTAATGTCATAGGTCAAAGAAAAAGCCTTCAAGATTGTATTAGGTCAGCAAGACGTCATAGATTGCATTTGATCATTATGACCTCACCAAGGTTGTATTAGATATGCACAACGCCAATACAGATGAAGGATAAAAAAAATTGATTTAAAGAGTTATATGTATGTGTCTGTTCCTGTTTGTGTGTATTTGTGAGCGTATGTATGTATGTATGTATGTATGTAAGTATATCCACTGTGCAGTAGAGGTGCGGTGGCTCGTCTTGACACAGGTAAGATAAGGCAGAAAAACTGGTTTGTATGAGGAAGTAATGTCGAATATTCGAGTTGGTATTTTTTATCCTAGAGTCACTTAAGCAGTTGTGGGGAATTGTAATCGTGGTGATTGGTATGTGATTGTGATGTTGTGTGTGATTGTGATGGTGTGTGATTGTGATGTTGTGTGTGATTGTGATGGTTGGTGTGTGATTGTGATGGTTGGTGTGTGATTGTGATGGTTGGTGTGTGATTGTGATGGTTGGTGTGTGATTGTGATGGTTGGTGTGTGATTGTGATGGTTGGTGTGTGATTGTGATGGTTGGTGTGTGATTGTGATGGTTGGTGTGTGATTGTGATGGTGTGTGATTGTGATGGTTGTGTGTGATTGTGATGATTGGTGTGTGATTGTGGTGATTGGTGTGTGATTTGGTGATTGGTGTGTGATTGTGATGATTGGTGTGTGAAGTGATGGTTTGGTTGTGTGATTGTGATGGTTGGTGTGTGATTGTGATGGTTCGTGTGTGATTGTGGATGCGATTGGGTTAAAGTGTTTTAGGCGATTCGATAGTGCTGTTAGGCTGCGATTGGGTGACGGGATGAGAATGGACGACATACCTGTCTGTACTGTTTAGGTTTAATGGGCTGTCCCACTTCTGTCTATTTCACCTGTTTATCATATTTTTACCTGTCTAATTTCACCTGTGTCATATTTTACCTGTCTAATTTCACCTGTCTCATATTTTACCTGTCTAACTCTACCTGTCTGTCACAGTTCCACCCGGGGGCGGCACGAGAGGCGGTAGAGTGGCTGATTGAACGTATCGAAGCCAAGAACAAGTATGGCGGCGCTGAGTTGCTTGTCAGGTGTGAACCCCAGAAGCAAGGACAGGTAAGGGGAGCTAATTAAGACAGTCCCGGAAGCATGGACAGGTGTGGGGACTAATTAAGACAGTCCCGGAAGTATGAACAGGTAAGGGGAGCTAATTAAGACAGTCCCAGAAGCATGGATAGGTGTGGGGGATTAATTAACACAGTCCCAGAAGCATGGACAGGTGTGGGGGGCTAATTAAGACAGTCCCAGAAGCAAGGACAGGTGAGAGAGGCTAATTAAGATAATCCCAGAAGCAAGGACAGGTAAGGGGAGCTAATTAACACAGTCCCAGAAGCATGGACAGGTGTGGGGGCTAATTAAGACAGTCCCAGAAGCAAGGACAGGTGAGAGGGGCTAATTAAGATAGTCCCAGAAGCGTGGACAGGTGAGAGGGGCTGATTAAGATAGTCCTAGAAACGTGAACAGGTAAGTGATGGGGCTAATTATATTCTATTTAGCTTGACGTCACTAAGCTTACCTCAATATGCTTTAAACTCTCATCTTCCCTAAAGCTTAACGTATCCAAACCTTGACGTCACTAAGCTTATACCTAAGAATCCCTGTACAGATTTGCATCTCCCTCCCGTTAAGCTGGACGATTAATTAAGCTTATGTTTTCAGGGGGTGACCGTGCATGTCTCCGCGACCAAGATCAAGTTGCTGGAGGTCGCTGAGGCCACGGAGTTACAGAAGAGAGCAGCTTCTGGCCTCATACAGGTATGCAAGAGGCCACCCATAGATTATCTCTGTCGTTCGGTTCCAATACTAAAATTGTCTCTTTTAATTTTGTTGTTTTTGAGGTTTTCGCAGTTTGTGTTTTTGTTATTTTCGATGTTTTTGTTGTTTTCGCTGTTTATTTTGTGTGTAGTAAACAAGGTTCACACCAGAGTTTTCTGTTTGTTTGTTTTTTATCTAATTTGACCTTAATTGACCTTTAGCTTAATTAGAGTTGACCTAAGTAAGCATAGTCTTATCTTGATTACTGTTGCTTAACCTAACCTAACCTAAGATAACAGCGTGACCTAAATATATCTAAATATGACCTCACACGACCTCCCCTACCCGCCAGGACTTCAGCGTACGTGACCTGGACCAGTTCCTATACGCGGGTCAGACACTTGACACTGTCTTGACCCCGGCGGAGAGGGAATACTGTATCAGACACGAACTGGACGCGATAAGGGCCAAGCAGGAAGAAGGGCATGTCCCTGGCTACCCTGAGATTAAGCTCTTCCCCGGACAGTCCCTTGGTAAGTACCGGATACTCCCTCTGTAAGTACCTGACAGTATCTTGATCAGTAACAGGTACTCCCTTAGTAAGTATTTGACAGTACCTTGGTAAGTACCTGACAGTACCTTAGTAAACTTAAGTAACACAGAACTAAATAACTCTTCGTAAGTCAAGAAAGTAGATTCATAAATACCAATAAAAAGTACAGAATTAAGGCATCAATTACAGCCAATACAGATTACAGAATCATACCTGTGGTGCCTTAATTAACCTCAATATCAGTACAGGTTTACGTAGAAAGTATAGCAATCTTCTATGAATACAGGTGACATTATTATACAGCCAGGTAGAAGCTAAACTGAGGTAGCACAATTTTTTTTTAATCTATTCATGTTGTTGGCAGTCACCTGTTTCCTATGCAACACACACACACACCAATTAATCAGTGACATCTACCGTATAGCCTGTTAGTGTTGTGTGTAGCCAAAGACTTCAGAAACTACCAGTGATTTTTGTGTGTAGCCAATAAGACTACACCTACACAGATCTATACTAACACTAAGCTTGTCTCAACAGTTGGGGTGTACTTGGCGGAGGAACTCATATCAGACATGTTTCCACTACACGACCGTCAAGCATTGGACAGTCTTGCTTCCCAGTGGTACAGAGTCATCTTCCAGACTGCCCCCTTTGGTGAGTTTAAGGGGGGAAGGGAAAGGAGAGGTAGGGGGAAGGGAAGGAGGGAATGGGAAAGGGAAGGAAGGAAAGAGGGGGTGTAGAGAGAAGGAATATAGTGAGGAGACAAGAGGAGGTGGAGAGAGAAAGAATGTGTGTGTGAGATCTACCAAACAACTACAGCATATGCTAATCGAGGGGTGTGCCTACATTAGCATTGACTGTAAATAGATCCTTGTAAATATCTCGTGGTGACTGTCCTTCATCTACTTATTCTCTTATTCTTTCTCTTCTTCTTCTTCTTCGTCTTCTTCTTCTTCTTCTTCTCTTTCATTTTTGTACGTTAATTTCCTTCTCAAGTACTATTTAATTTTCTTAGCACTTAGCTCTTAGTATGACCAGGCTATGTACTACCGGCACTGGGGCTATTAGCACGTGTGTGGCACCTATAGGCTAAAAGACTATAGTGGCACTAGGCTAGATCATGTTGCATTGTTTTAGCTCGTGTGGCACCATTAAGCTGGAGCGTGTGGCACCAGACTTGTTCAATAACCTATCTAATAGTTTTGTTGTTGAAATTCAGTAAGAGTAGTGTTTCAGTATCACCATTATCACCACCACCACCACTATCACCACCACTATCGCTATCATCACCACCATCGCTATCATCACCACCACCACCACTATCACCACCACCACCATCACCACCATCACCATCACCACCACTATCATCACCACCACCTATCACCACCACCACCATCCATAACATCTTATCGCCATCACCATCACCACCACCTCCACTATCATCACCATCACTATCATCACCACCACCACCACCACCTATCCCACCACCACCATCACCACCCTCCACCACCATCACCCACCACCACCATCACCACCACCATCACTACCATCACCACCATCACCACCACCACTATCACCACTACTATCACCACCACCACCACCACCATCACCACCACCACCACCACCATCACTATCACCATCAAAGCCAAAGCACAATACTGTATATATATATATTAACCCCGCCTGGTGCTCTGAACATGGTGACAGATCCGGATTGTCCCCACCCTCGATATCCGTCTCCCGTCAACACCTAGCCAGAGACAGAGAGAGAGAGGAACAGACAGAGAGAGAGAGGAACGGCGAAAGAGAGACGGAAACAGAAAATGACAAAGACAGAAACAGAGAGACAGAAAGATGAGAAACAGACAAAAATAGACAGGCAGAGACAGAAACAGAGAGAGACAAGAGACAAAAACAGAAACAAAGGCAAAGAAACAAAGAGACAGAGATAGACAGACACACAGACAGAAAACACCATAATCATCTCTCCTCCCAAGAAGAAAATATAAATAAATACTCGTATCCTTAATAACATCTAAAAATACCAAGTGTGTTTTATTTTATTTTTTTATTTATTGTTTTTCTTAACTTATAAATTGGCGCCACTATACAAGTAGCCTCCTTACGTTGAAATCAAACACCATAACGCCATTCAAGTCACTATCACTGCCACACTATAAAGGTCACACACACACACACACACACACACACACACACACACACACACACACACACACACAGAGGAAGTCAATGTTATATCTTAAGTGTGTGTGTGTGTGTAAAGGCCCTCTTGTATTATCAACAACTTGGATATGGTGGTGTTTTCAAGACGTATATATATATATGTATGGATAAATAGCTAAATGGTGTTATTTTTTTTTTGCTGTTATTGTTGGTGGATAGTGGGAGAAAGAATGGTGTTTACTGATAGAGGTGGATAGAGATGGATGTACAGTAGGTGGATAGATGGACTCTACCTAGCCACCGTGTTGGAGATAGTGAAGTATATGGTAGAATAAGGAGACAGGTATATAGCGTGGGAAGATAGAGGTAGATAGATAAAATAATACAGGTAGAATACAGGTAGACAGGTAAAATACAGGTAGACAGGTAAAATACAGGTAGACAGATAGAATACAGGTAAACAGGTAGAATCCAGGTAGACAGGTAGAAGACAGGTAAAATACAGGTAGAATACAGGTAAACAGGTAGAATCCAGGTAGACAGGTAGAATCCAGGTAGACAGGTAAAATACAGGTAGACAGGTTGAACACAGGTAGACAGGTAAAATACAGGTAGACAGGTTGAACACAGGTAAAATATAGGTAGAATACAGGTAAAATCCAGGTAGACAGGTAGAAGACAGGTAAAATACAGGTAGACAGGTAGAGGTGGTGTAAGTTAATATCTCCTATGTATATTCCTCCTTGCAGGGATCTTCCTACGAGAGGGCACCCTCCCTACTATAACCTTACCGACCCCGAAAGAGAAAGATGACCGCACTGAGGCCCCAGTTCGACCCTCAGCGCCCTTTACAGGTGATGGATAACCCGAGCTGACCTGATCTAACCCGAGATGACCCGATTTGATGCCAATTTTGCTGAGCTATTTATCAGTTAACCTGACCTAATACCCCCCAAGATGACCCGATTTGATGCCAATTTTGCTGTGCTATCTGTGAGTTGACCCCTCAAGATGACCTGATTTGATGCCAATTATGCTGAGCTATTTATCAGTTAACCTGACCTCCGTCCCCCCTGCGAGATGACCTGATTTGATGCCAATTTTGCTGTGCTATCTGTGAGTTGACCTGACCTAGCCCAAGATAATTCACTTTGACACGAATTAAGCTGAGATAACCTGAACAAGCTTGAATTAAATAACCTGAAGTACCCGCATTATGTCCTTGCTTAATCTGACTTCAACCAAACAAGCTTAAAGTGAACTCAGCGTAATCTAAAGATAAACCAAACAACCTTAAAGTAACCCGATGAACCAAATAAGCTTAAAGTGAACTCAGCATAATCTAAAGCTAAACCTTATATCCCTTGTACTACACTGACCTATAATGTCATCAAAATCTGTTGCTTTAGTCTCAGCTATTAACCTCAACACTTAAAAAAGGCTTTAGTCTCAGCTATCAACTTCAGTACTTAAAAAAAAAGGAAACTTTAGTCTCAGCTATCAACGTCAGCACTTAAAAAAAGCTTTAGTCCCAGCTATCAACGTCAGCACTTAAAAAAAGCTTTAGTCCCAGCTATCAACCTCAGCACTTAAAAAAAAAAAGCTTGAAGCTGATTATATACATTCGTCCGGGCCGCTAAACACAGGAATTTTAAAAAGTGTTTTGGTTTATTTTTCGTCTTGTTATCTGTATTAGTGTTGTGTAGTTACGAATTATTTGCTTTTTTTTTTGATAACGTGAAGAGGATAAGTGTGAAGTAATATTTAAAAGAAAGAAAAGAAAATAGTTATATAAAATACTTGTTTATAATGGAGTCTGTTTGCGGTTTATTTATGACTTGTTTGTAATGGAGGTTCTTGATTTATGACGTGTGTGTGTGTGTGTCTCTTTGTTTTATGAGTTGTTTGTGTTTGTTTGTCTTTTTGTTCAATGGAGGCTGTTTGATTATGTCTTGTTTACAACGGAGTCTTTGTTTACATCTTACTTGTTCAGTTTACAAACCTATCCACAAAAAAAGAGACATATATTTCTCAACGTCATGTTTAAATTGGTGTGCCGGTTTGTTTGCCAACGGGTGTTTTAAATCAAACAGTATAAACAATAGGAGTCAGACTTATGAACTAGTTACTGGCTGTCATCCTGTCCTAGTTTAGATAAGAGCTGTCAGCACCACAACATACCACACTGCTTAGGCTGCACCGAATACCAGTACCAAAGGACTTCAAATCTCTCGAATCATCTGAACATTAGACACCCCACCTCCTCTCACCTTATTTTACCTGATAATTAAGCAACCTAACTTAACCTCTCTAAATAACCTAGGGTAACTAATCATCAGGTGACTCCTCCTCCTTCTCTTCTCTTCCCCCCCCCTCTCAGAAACTGATTCACAAAGGCTCTTAATTAAATCATCATATATAAAGATTTAAAAAAAAATAATAATAAAAATAAACCAAACTATTTGACATAAGATAAAAAAAAATTAGTAAAACGACTTAATTACACAATGACTTTATTAGATACTTAGTTAAAACCCAGACACACTTAAGGAACATTAATTCTCACTTAAATATCTCTTATCTACCAAATATTGATAAGTAAATGTATCTAGAAAAGGTTAAAATCTCAATTCAACTTAGAAGGATTTTTTTTGGGAGGGGGGGGGGAGGGGTTGATTTTTTTCTTATATTTTCATTTACGAGGACAATTTTTGATCTTAAGACACTATGATAATGTAGAGTATTGTTAAGCATAGTATATATCGTCCTGGAGTGTACAGTATTTTTAGCCTGTTCTTACCAGAGGCTTAATATTAATCTTTCTATTGTATAATGTGTGTGTGTGTGATGGAGGAGTGGTGGGGGGCATTGACCTGAGTAAATATTGTTGTTGTTTGGTATTGATTGTTATTATTATTATTATTATTACTGTTGTTATTTTTGTTGTTATTTATGTGGTGTTGTTGGTTATTATTATTATTGTTATTATTATTGTTATATATTATTGTTATTATTATTATATATTGTTGTTATTATTATTGTTGTTGTTGTTGTTGATAATGTGCAGTGGTGGTTATCATTATTATTACAGTATATTATTATTATTATTATTATTATTATTAGTAGTAGTAGTAGTAGTAGTAATAGTAATAGTAATATCATTTACCTTCCCAAAGCCAACCTGCTGAGATGAGACGGCACCCCAGTGTGTGTGTGTGTGTGGTCTCAATCATTCTCATATATAAAAAAAAAGTACTGTACACATGAATACTTTACACACACATACACACATATTAACATATACCCGTAGATAGCTCTCTCTCTCTCTCTCTCTCTCTCTCTCTCTCTCTCTCTCATCCTTGCCCTTGTGTTAAGGTCAGACAAGACTCTCATTATCAAAGGCTCATAAATTGTTTCTTTTTCTTTCTTTTTTCTTATTTTCCCCCAATTGCTTAAGGTGTTGTCCCTGTCTGCCTGGGTGTCTGATTGTCCGTCTGTCTGTTTATCTGTCTTTCTGTTTGTATGTTTATCCGTCTGTCCATCCGTCTGTCTACTGTAGGTCGGAGGTTAGGCACAATATTGGTTAGACAATCCTTTTCTCTCTCTCTCTCTCTCTCTCTCTCTCTCTCTCTCTCTCTCTCTCTCTCTCTCTCTCTCTCTCTCTCTCTCTCGATGTTGTTTCATGTCACTGTGCTTCATCAACTACAAGGTTAGGTTAGGTTAAGGTTAAGGTATGGGAGTAGAGTTAAGGTTAAGGTATGGGGTAGGTTAGGTTAAGGTATGGGAGTAGTTAGGTTAGGTATGGGGTAGGTTAAGGTTAAGGTAGGTTAGTTAGGTTAAGTGGGGTGTAAGGTTGGTATGGGGTAGGTTAAGGTTAAGGTATGGGGTGATTAAGGTTAAGGTATATAGAGTTAAGGATTGGTATGGGGTAGGTTAAGGTTAAGGTATGGGGTAGGTTAAGGTTAAGGTATGGGGTAGGTTAAGGTTAAGGTATGGGGTAGGTTAAGTTAAAGTGGTAGGTGGTGAGATATTGGTATGGTAGGTGTATGGGGTGGTGGGGTAGGTTAAGGTTGGTATGGGTAGTTATTGGTATGATTAAGATAAGGTATAGGATAGGTTAAGGTTAAGTATGGGTTAGTTAGGTATGAGGTGGTTGAGTTGTGTTAAGGTTAGGTATGGGGTAGGTTAAGGTTAGGTATGAGGGAGTTAAGATGGTATGGGGTAGGTTAAGGTTGGGTATGGGGTAGGTTAAGGTTAAGGTATGGGGTAGGTTAAGGTTAAGGTATGGGGTAGGTTAAGGTTAAGGTATGGGGTAGGTTAGGTTAGGTTAGTTTATGGATGGGTTAGGTTAGGTTATGAAGTGATATTGACACTGGACTATGGTGGTAGTAGTGGTGGTGGTGGTGGTAGTTGTGGTGGTAGTGGTAGTAGTGATGGTAGTAGTTATGGCGATGGTGGTGGTATTAGTGGTGGTGATACTGGTAATACTGATGACGGTAGTAATTGTTGTGTTGTTGGTAGAAGTGGTAATGATGATGACAAGGCGGAGCAAGTAAGAAATCAGCAAATACAACTACCCCCTCCCCTTACCACCCCCACACACCACTACCACCACACACACCACTACCTCCCTCTACCACCCCTCCTGCCACACCACTACCACCCCCACACACCACTACCCCACACACCACCACCCACACCACTGCCCCCGCCCACCACTAGCACCACACACAACACTGCCACCACACCCCTCTGCCACACCACTACACCCCCCACACCACCCACTACCACCACACCCCTCTACCCACCCCACACACCACCACCCACACCACCCACCACACACACCACTACAACACTACCACCACCCCCTCTACCCACCCACACACCACCCCTCTACCCCCCACCACCCCCTCCCCACCCCACACCACTACCACCACACCCCCCTCTCCCATCTTCACTCCACCTACCGATTAACACCACAAGTTGGGTTTTTTCACCATTGCAGTTTTCCGGGTCTGTGCTATTTATAATCTGTTCTCGAGTGTTATAAACTACCCAACCACCCAATTAGAGTATCGTGTACAAAAAAAAAAATAAATAAAACCAGTCCAGTCCAGCTTAAATATAGTATTGATAGCTAACATATGACTAGTGTCAGTTCAGTGTTGTTCATGCTTACGTTACGTTTTGGTTAGGTTAGGTTAGGTTCAGTTATTTTAGGTACAGATTAGGTTAGGTTAAGTTAGGATATATTTAAGTAGGTTTAGTTTATGTTAGGTTCAGTTAGATTAGGTTAGGTTTACGATAGGTTAAGTTAGGTTATGTTAAGTTAGGTTAGGCTAGGCTAGGCCCAGTTAGATTAGGTTTAAGTTAGGTAATTTTAGGTTAGGTTAAGCTAGGTTAGGCTAGGTCCGGTTAGATTAGGTTAGGTTTAAGTTAGGTTAGGTTAGGTTAGGTTATGTTAAGTTAAGTTAGGTTAAGTTAGATCTGCTCCACGGTACAAGTATGCATTTAAGTATTACTTTCCTTATATGCAAAATTTGCAAGTTCCAGGAAAATACAAGAAAATTATTGGTTTGTTTTCCTGTTTTTTCCACCACCACCTACTGTATCCTCCCCACCACCACCACCACCTACTGTATCCTCCCCACCACCACCACCACCTACTGTATCCTCCCCACCACCACCACCACCTACTGTATCCTCCCCACCACCACCACCACCTACTGTATCCCCTCCCCACCACCACCACCCACTGTATCCCTCCCCACCACCACCACCACCACCTACTGTATCCCTCCCCCACCACCACCACCACCACCCACTGTATCCTCCCCACCACCACCACCTACTGTATCCTCCCCACCACCACCACCTACTGTATCCCTCCCACCAACTATAACTCCACCCATTTAAACTCATTCATTCATGACTCATCTCTCTCTTACCCCTTGTTTTCCAACCCATAGAGGAGATCCGGTCGTACTTCGGGGAGGCCGTGGCGATGTACTTCAGCTTCTTGGGTTTCTACACGATGGCGCTGGTGTTGCCGGCCGTGTTGGGCCTGGCGCAGATGGTGCTCTCCGTCGACACCCTCACCGAATACGCCCTCTTCGCCGCCTTCAACCTCGTCTGGGTCACCGTCCTGCTGGAGGTGAGAGCCCCTAACACATAATACACCTTTGTGCTTTGTCTTCTACAGGATGCAAGGTGCTCAATAAACTAGCCCCCTCGCCAGGATGTATGTAGATAGATTGATTGATTGAATGATTTGATACTTAGTTAATATATATGTATATATATACGTGGATAGACGGATGGTTTAATGGGTGGATGGATGGATAGAGAGATGGATGGATGGATTTATAACCTCATGCCTACACACCCAAGTAATCAAGTCTTCCTTTCATCCTAACCTAACCTTATTCGCATTTACCCCACCACCACCCCCCTCACGACCATCCCATTATCACCATCCCATAACCAACACCATCACCACCACCAGCCCACTCCTTCACCACTGGACCACCAGCCCACTCCTTCACCATCACCACCAGCCCACTTCTTCACCATCACCACCAGCCCACTCCTTCACCACCACCACCAGCCCAATTCTTCACCACCACCACCCACCAGCCCAATTCTTCACCACCACCACCAGCCCACCTTCCACCTGCTCACCTCACCTCACCAGCCCACCCCTTCACCACCATACCCAACCCTCCTTACTTCCATCATGAGGACTAATTCTCATTCAATCCTCCATCGCACACACCCTCACCCCCCCTCCCTCACAAGTCCCCCACCCGTTGTTGCCAGCAGGAAAACCCTTCAACAATTGTGTGTATGTGTGTGTGTGTGTGTGTGTGTGTGTGTGTGTGTGTGTGTGTGTGTGTGTGTGTGTGTGTGTGTGTGTTTGTGTGTTTTGGATAGATAGAGAGAGAGAGAGAGAGTGTGTGTGTGTGTCTTTCTCCTGGAGTTTGTGGAATCTAGCAATGTGTTTAAGTAGTTGTATAAATTAGCCATCGCTGTAATGAGGGAGCCGGCGGAGTGAGAGGAGGGGAGGGGGAAGGGGGAGGGGAGGGGAGGGGGAGGGAGAGGGAGAAAGGAAGAGGCTAGTCATGTGAATTAAGGATGCTTGGTTGAAGATCTTCCCTTCCCCTCCACCTCCTCTCCGGCTCCTCTCCTCTCTTCTCTTCCCTCCTCTCCTTCCTCCTCTCCGGCTCCTCTCCTCTCTTCCCTCCCCCTCTCCCTCCTCCTCCTCCCTCCTCCCTCCCCCTCTCCCTCCTCTCCTCCTCTTCCCTCCTCTCCCTCCCCTCCACCTCCTCTCCGGCTCCTCTCCTCTCTTCTCTTCCCTCCTCTCCTTCCTCCTCTCCGGCTCCTCTCCTCTCTTCCCTCCTCTCCTCCTCCTCTTCCTCGCATAACAATTCTATCGCCTTGAGACGTTGATGCGCTGCCCTCAGAACCCTTGTTGGCAAGGGCTATGGAATTAACATCACCCAAGCTCGTACTTTCTATCTTCACTTCATTCGTTCTGTAGTTGACTATCATGCTCTCCATCTTGTGACTATTCCGCCTAAACAACTCAACAGCCTTGAGGTAGTGCAAAATGAAGCCATGCGCATCATTCTAGGTTGCCCAAAATCAACCAGAATTGTAAACATGAGGAAAGAGCTCGGACTGCCCTCCCTATCTGAGAGGATAGCTCTACTTAATACTATGTTTTGTGTCAAAGTTCTGAAGAACAATAGTTCTCAAACTACAACTCAAACTGAGTTGATGTTCTATCTAAGTAATCCCGACCATCTCGCCAACCTTCCACAAAAGACTCTCTTTGGGGAGTGGCTTCATAAAAGTGTTGCAGATCTCTTGAAACTGAATGTGCCAATCACCCCAGACGAACCTATTAATGCCATTCCTTCTTGGCTGGATATATCAGTTCCTATTAATTACACTCCTGTTGGTAGTAAGCAATTGTTAAACACCGATGTGGTGAGATGTGTCACACTAGAAACTATTAACAGACACATAGAGAGTATTAAATCAAGTGAATGTTATGCTTTTACTGATGGTTCTGTGCAGACAAACACAGGTAGAACAGGCTGTGCAATTGTAGTATATAAAGAAAAAGAGATGATAGTGTCAAACAAGCGAAGGCTGAACAACTGGGCCAGCACAACAAACTGAACTAACTGGAATCTACTTAGCCACAGATTACCTTAAAGAAAATGGAGGTGGGGTGATATTCTGTGACTCTCAAAGTGCTTTGAAATCAATGAACAGCCCGTCAGGCTCTATGTCTAAAGTTGTATGTTATATTAAAAGGAATGTGATAACTGCCAATGAGAACAACTTTCGTATCGAATTTGTGTGGATTCCGTCCCATGTTGGAATCAGGTATCACGACTGTGCTGATAGACTGGCCAATGAGGCATGTAGGAAAGAAAATGTTGACCGGGACCTTGGCCTGTCCAGTGCTGTAATTAAAAACATTCAAGTCAGAATCATGAACTCTGATCTTGAAGAAGTGAGAAATCCAGAGAGACCTGGCAGTTGTAGCATTAGTAAATATGACAAATTTTGTGACAAGAGGTACCGGTATGGCCAGCATAAGGACAGAACCAGACAATGTGATGTAGTCGTGGCCAGAATTAGGCTAGGATACAGACACATCTGGCAAGTTAGTAACGCTGTACCCATACCGGAACACTCAGCATGTAAACTTTGTGATAAACCTTTAAAGCATACACTTGAACACTATGTTATTGAATGTGACACTATGAAAGACTTCAGGCCACCTGACTTATTGTATCTTGAACTTTGTAATTACTACATTGAATCGGGGGTGCTTGAGGACATTCTTGCTGTTTATCCCAAATTTGCTAGCCCACACTGATTAGTCCTCAATTAGAATATGACTCCAATGTATGTGAACCACTGACCTATATATACTGCAAATGAATATTATGTATTTTTTTCTTTGTGTACGAACCTCTGTCCTGCATGTTAGTGAACAGTGACATTACCCACATGTATCTGACCTATATATACTGTCAATGAATATGATGTATTTCTTTGTGTATAATCCTCTGTCCTGCGTGGCAGTGAGAAGTGATACCACCCTCAGTGTCAAGACCTGACTGAATTTCTCAGAATAGGCAAACTGTACTTCAAGCTTTGCCAATAAATTTGTTAAACTAAACTTGAGACGTTAATAGCTATTTGAGGGATCACCTGAAGCTTAGACACCCCAGCTTTTATCACTTGAAGATTAGACATCCAAGCTTATTTCTCATATAACCTAGCCTAACTCAACTCCTCCCAGGTAACGTTTGGGTGGTTAAAGTTCAGGTGATATCCCTTCAGTACTAATACTCCCTTGCACCATCATTTTTTCCTCCGTCACCACTACCACCATCACTATCAGCTGTCAACACACCTCACTCATCACCCACCTGAACCATCTTTTTCACGCCTTTCCTCTCGCCAGCTGTGGAAGCGACGCTGCTCTGAGCTGTCCTATACGTGGGGGACCCTGGATCGTCAGTATCATTTGGAGGCGACAAGAACAAACTTCAAAGGCATCATGAAGCAGAACCCGATCACTGGCCGCTTCGAACCCACCTACCCACCCTGGAGGACTAAGTTCAAGGTGAGGGAAGGAGGGAGGGAGATAAGGAAGGAGGAAGGGAGATAGAGAAGGAGGGAAGATAGAAGAAGGGAGGTAAAGAGGGATAAGTCACCTACCCGCCCTGGAGGACTAAGTTCAAGGTGAGGGAAGGAGGGAGAGAGGAGAGGGGACAAGGAAGGAGGAATGGGAAGAAAACGGAGAGAGAGGAAGAAGGAATTAGGAGATAAAGAAGAAGAGAATTAGAGTGACAGACAGAGAGAGAGAGAGAGAATTAGAGTGACAGACAGAGAGAGAGATAATTAGAGTGACAGAGAGAGAGAGAATTAGAGTGACAGAGAGAGAATTAGACAGACAGACAGACAGACAGAATTCCACACAATATTCTCCTGGCTCCCCCAAAAAGCAACTGATGGATATATAATACTGTATATTATTCTTCATTATTTATCATACCTCTCATCCTAAAGGTAAATTATACATGCACCTGTGATCTGTACCCGTCTCCCTGATTACAAGCACAGGTAACTCATCCATCATCACCTGTTAAGAGAAAAAATTTACATACACATGAATATACATACATACATACATACACAAAGGTAGCAGCACCACACACACACACACACACACACACACACACACACACACACACACACACACACATGACCTTTACACAATACAAACATCACTCAAGACGGTTTATTTTTCCGGGTTGTGGCGACGTTAAGCCTAACACTGACCATGTGATGCTATCTGTACCCCTTGACACTATTCTGTACGTTGTGACACTATTCTGTACCCTGTGACACTATTCTGTACCCTGTGACACTATTCTGTACGTTGTGACACTATTCTGTACCCTGTGACACTATTCTGTACCCTGTGACACTATTCTGTACGTTGTGACACTATTCTGTACGTTGTGACACTATTCTGTACCCTGTGACACTATTCTGTACGTTGTGACACCAGAAAGTAAGGTGTAACTGTGTGTGTGTGTGTGTGTGTGTGTGTGGTTAAAAAACACTCATTATAAACTTTGCCAATAATCCTCCAATCAAGCTACAATGAAATATATACCATGTAAACCCTCTCTATGCCGTACTGTATTCTAAAACCCTCATTATACCCTCTATATACCGTACTGTACTCTAAATCCATCATTATTCTCTTTCTATACTGTACTGTATTCTAAAACCCCTCATTATACCATCTATATACCGTATTGTATTCCTAAAAACCCTCATTATACCCTCTATATACCGTACTGTACTCTAAATCCATCATTATTCCCTTTCTATACCGTACTGCATTATAAAACCCCCCATTATAACGTCTATACCGTACTGTATTCTAAAATCCCTCATTATACCCTTTCTATACCGTACTGCATTCTAAAACCCCTCATTATAGCGTCTATACCTTACTGTACTCTAAATCCATCATTATACCCTTTCTATACCGTACTGTATTATAAAACCCCTCATTATACCCTCTATATACTGTACTGTAATCTAAAACCCCTCATTATACCCTCTATATACTGTACTGTATTCTAAAACCCCTCATTATACCCTCTATATACTTAAAAACTGTAATCTAAAACCCCTCATTATACCCTCTATATACTGTACTGTAATCTAAAACCCCTCATTATACCCTCTATATACTGTACTGTAACCTAAAACCCCTCATTATACCCTCTATATACTGTACTGTAATCTAAAACCCCTCATTATACCCTCTATATACTGTACTGTAATCTAAAACCCCTCATTATACCGTCTATCTATTTATACGTAACAACGCTTATGGCATAACACAATGCGGACAGCACTGATAAACACACGTACAGAGATAGAGTGAAAAAAAAAATCACTCTTAACTTAGCCTTTTTCTAGTATATTTTTAAGTTCCCTTTTTGTTATTTCCTATACTATACATCAAGTGGAAACATTATTTCCTTATCTCTCACAGCTGTCGTTAGTCATTACCTATTATTGTACATCATTATTATTATTATCTTGCACTGTGCACTCTGGCGCATAGGGGACTGCGAGGTGTGGAAGGATACAAGGAAATATACACCTATAAATAATGTGATTTGTAATTCTGTGTGTAGTGGGGATACAGTATGTTTGTTTTTGTTTGTTTTGGTGGTGTTTTAAGATGATGTTTATAGCTCTGGATAAATTAATGTTGATGGTATTTTATTTTTTTCTTTTCACGAGATATTGTGTTACATGCGTCATCAGAGTAACGATAACAGTACGTGTGAAGTTTAGTTAACATAAGAGTCTAACTGTAATTTATATATTATTTTTGTTTACGTTTTCTTGTTTTTAATTACGAGAAATCAACTTAAAATCCCACAGTAGTAGATAGAATACAGTTATGTTATGTTCTAATGAGTTGTGTGGTATTTACATGTGCCTTTCGTAATCTGATCAATGTCTTGTGGAAATAGAATATCACTTCTATATATTTTGTTTCATCGATAGCGTATAATTATTAATCTCCATGACTTAACACTTAAAAAACCTTAGTTGTTGAAGGGCAGTAAAAAATAAATAAATAAATACATAAGTAAAGTAGAATCAAGGACATTTGTAGCATCTAATTCCCGAAAATATTTCATAACTGAACTCAAAATACACCTAACCTAACTTAATCTGTTCCTTGATTACTGAATGCCAAAAGATGGGTCTTTTGAGTCATGGCAACGATTAACCTTAACGACTGGTGGTTAAGAGAACTATTGCAAGTTCATATATACGCTGGCGTTTCCTTAGCTAATATACAACAGGGTTTTTTCACTCTTTAATATGGCGGTCGAGACGAATTTGTCTTTTCAAGTGTCTTCCGCGCCATGTTTATTTAATATTGCCCGGGTTCTGTCTTATGACTGGTCCAGCCGTGTTAACCATTGAGAGCCGTGTCATTTGTACAAACAGCAGGATATTGAATACTTTCTAAATGATAGTACGCTAAGATTATTATCAAAGGTTTACACGTAAAATTTTCCTCATGGCGGGAGATGTTAAGAATGCATTTACTTGTACAGAAAACACCGAATGTGGCATCAATAACTTCACACTAACTCTAACTTATTATTCGTTCATTTAACAGACAAAAAGTACCCTAACATTCTGCCTTAACTCTGCCATCACTTACCACCAGTTAGGAGACAAAACGAATCAAGAATCTCTGGGAACGAGATATTACTGAAATTTTTAAAGGATGTGCTTAAAGTGAGAGAGTGAAGGAGACCCGTGGTGTGTGACCTTCTAAGGGCAAATGGACTGACTGACTTTTGGAACGTAATCTGTGTGTGTGTGTGTGTGTGTGTGTGTTGAGATAGCTTGGTGAATTATTACGTCGGTAGGAGTTTAATAAATTATGAAAACGTAATGTTGATGAAGGATTATTATTATTGTTGTTATTATTATTATTATTATTATTATATTATTATTATTATTATTATTTACTACTATTCATCCGATTTTAGATATTTTTCCGAGTGTTTTTTCGTCCGGAAACTCCTTAGATCAGAGGTTCATTAGTCCGGAGGTTCAGTGTTCCGGATGCCTAACCTAACCTAACCAACAATACTGATACAAATTATAAACCGTACCTCAAAACACCACCCACTCACTGTACCGGACTGTAACTTATGAACCCCACCTCAAAACACCACCCACTGTACCGTACTGTAACTAACACCATCTAAGAGTAAAAGGTGGAAATAATTCTTTAAAAATATGACAATTCAATTAACTCTCCCTCTAGTGTATAATGTATGCGTGTTGTGAAATCAAGGCTAAGTTATACACAAAGCCATGAGTGGTGTATAATTATTTTAGGGTATAAGATTACGTAAGGCATACAGTCCTAGCGGCGCCATGGCCTGAGTGGATCTCAGGGACCCAGCGGTAGCTAGTAAGGCGGTCTGTTGTAATAGGGCCGGGCCACTCCTACCCCTATCTATCCTTACGTAACCTAGAGGAGTGACGTAGGTAGTGGACTGAATGTAATGCTGGCCATGTTATACTGATCTTTCTATACTGTGTGGCATTTTTTTTTCTTCATTTTTATTTAATTTTTTTTGGTGTGTCCACTTTGTTTTGAACGAGTATCCATTTACGCATTTTATTCTTCATCTGATATTGCAGTGTGAGGTCTCGGGTAGCTAGATGTATTCTGAGACGTGTGCAGTGGGGGGTACAGGGTTGCATGGGTAGAGGGGAGGGAAGGGGGTGTTTACTATGTGTTTATCTCTGTTAGCCAACCTTCCTCTGCATGGTATTTACTAATATGTCACTGGCCAACACACGCACACACACACACACACACACACACACACGTCTTGTCCAAACACACACACAGCTCCTAAACTTCATTGACGTGTGTTGGGGGGGAGGGAGGAGGAGTGTCAGGAAGCAATAAAGACACTATAACTGCTACAAAAAAAAATAAATCAGTGGACAAAACACAATCCTAAAAGTCAGTGTATATCCCTTCCTCCCTCCTCTCCCCCTTCAGCCCCTTCAGCCCCCTCCCTCCCTCCCTTCAGCCCCCTTCAGCCCCCCTTCAGCCCCTCCTTCAGCCTCCCTCCCTCCCTCCCTCCCTCCCTTCCTCACTAAATCATATCTGATAGCCTTGAATAAAAGAGACTGGCATTTTGCATTCACTTACCATTGTGATAAATGCTTCCGAGTATCAGAAGGTAAAATGAACTTAATTCTTAAGTTGTAAAGGTTTGTGTGTTAGTTCAGCTTTAATGTGGTGTATAATGACGTGATGTACAGTACTATAATGATGGATAATGACGTGATGTACTGTACTATAATGATGGATAATGACGTGATGTACTGTACTATAATGATGGATAATGACGTGATGTTTTCAGCAAGGTTTGGGAAGAGTGAAGCGCTTGGTGCTTTTATAATGTTATTAGAAGCTAAGAACTCTACCCTGTGTGTGTGTGTGTGTGTGTGTGTTGGTTCAGAGGCATAAGCCATACGCAGGTTAGGGAGAAAAGGAAAACCCCCTTCCAACCCTCCCTCCTTCTCTTCCTGTGATGAACATACATATATCCTGTTTACAATGTGTTATCACCCCACGCTTATATAATGAGAGTGAGTGACCTCCTTGAAGGATACAGCTGTTTCTTCATCTAAATTACAGTAGCTTCCCTTCTTATTACAGCTGTACCATGATCTAAACTACATTACCAACCTCCTGACTGAGGTAAAAAAAAAATCGCAATTTACCACACCACCTTCACCCACTCCTACAGTTGTACTTCATATCGGCGCCTCTGGTGGGTCTCTGTCTGGTCGGGTCGCTGTGGATGATGGTGGGGGCATTTTGGGCGGAGGAACAGCTGGTGGATTGGAAGCGACGTTACGGCTCTATCGCTGGCGTCTTCATGCATGTACCTTCCGCTTTCTACGCTGCCCTGGTCTGGCTTATGAACCATTACTACAAGAGATTAGCCACAAGCCTTACTGAATGGGGTACGTATGTTTGTTTATTTTCTTGTAGCGTTTGTTATACATTATGTGGCTTGATGTATATACTGTAGGTAAGTGAACCATATTGTACAGGGTGTCTCAGAAGTCGCCGTAACATTATAATACAGGGTGTTTAGTAGGTCAAGCATGGACTATATGTGACACCCTGTACATACATACATACATACATACATACATACATAACCAGTAATTAATAGCATTGATTAATCATTTCTACCATATGTTAGTTTAACGAGCCAGAAGGGCGGGTGGGTGGTCTGGTAACAATCCTTAGGTTAGGATTTCCATTGTCCATTGTTATCTACTACACCTGAGGACACCTGAGAACAGTACCTGGATGAGAGAGGCAAGCCCTGTCCTCATTGTCACCAACACCCCATCTTTAGTTAGGTTAGGTTAGGTTAGGTTAGGTTTAATAAGGATTAGATGAGAGTGATTTGGGCTCGATTACGATAGGTTAGATCAGAGTGGGTTAATGTTATCTTAGAATACCCAGTGTTAAAATACTCAATACTATGTTAGAATACCCAGTACTATGTTAAAACAAGCTATGTGTCTTGTAGGGTAAAGAACTGTACTGAATATATGGACAGAAATAATCAGTATTTTACCCGCCCGTCTATTGCCATTAACAGATGAAATATAATGGCTTAGCGGTTTAGGCCCTATACAACGACATTCAGTATAATTATTTTTTCTGGCATCTAATACCTTGAAACGTCTTTAAAAAAATAGCTTAGAAGTGGAAATTATGTGCTTAACGAGGTAACTTGTTTTCAGTGTTGTTGGGTGGTTCCGGGGAGGGGTGGGCAGGGGAAAGAGTCATTAACAGTCAGAAAACCGTCAGTTGGAAAGGTCACGTACGAGGGAATCGGGGGCGTCGGCTACATTGTCTCTCTATAATCGAGATTATTTAATTTATCAAACTGGTTCCTATACAATATTGAAAATAATTATTGAAAGAATTAAAAGGTGGAAACATTGTATACGTAAAATATACTCTCGTCAATATAACCTCACTTTAAACTCCTAGAGCGAGACCTTCCCTACGTATACTAGGATCACATTGGCTTGTTGGAGTTTGATGATGGAGCAACAACATTCTACCGACTCGAGGATTTTCAAAATCTCGCATACACGCCACACAACGAGAGGCATTCGACGAAAATTGGACACACCTGAAACAACGGGGTAGCTTCACACTATGCCACTATGACGCTGTAACCGGTGACAACAACCGCCACTACAAACAGTATCAATCTCTGACTCGATCTCAACAGATTATGTACATGAGACTGCACCTAGGGTACAGGTACCTATGGGAGTACATTGGCAACCCTGAGCCTGGCCGCACTGTTTGTAAACTTTGTGGCCAACCCGACTCTCACACCCTCTCTCACTACATCCTCACGTGCCCTATGACCACCTCCTACAGGTCCCTAGCTGTTACCAACACCTCTTCCCTCCCTGACCAGATATCCCTCCTACTAGTGACAGGCCTGGCACTTGACATTATTAGGGACCTGCCACGCTTTGCCATAAACAGATGAAATGTACCGGGAACTTTCCCCCCACGCACTCATCATTCTCTCACTTTATGTAACTTGACAAAACCTATGACCCTTCAGGCTTTTACGCCCTTAATGTACGAGTCATAAAGGCAAGTATGAACTTTGCATACTTCCCAGATGGGCGCTGTAAACGCTTCTGCGCTTCACCTTGCACAGGATGTAAGGGGGTGCCCAATAAACTAGCCACCTGGGGGCAAATCTGAAGAAAAAAAATCTCCAGGATTTTCATCAGATTATGGAACAATTTAAACCTTGAAGAAAGCTTTGCTTGTTTTTTATATATCAAAGAGAAGATTATTGAAGAACTTGCCTTGTGAGGACAGCAGCTCGACGACAAAAGGGAAGATGGTGGTTATACTGTATTGCGTGAGCTTTCGTCTGTGATGGTGATGTAGCCGACCATATTTACACACTCGTTGTGCAAGGTAATGTGGGATAGTTATTACGTGAATACTCAGATTGTATTGTTAAATTGTGCTGTGTAAATGCGAGACTCGATTATTCCCCAAGGCCACGACAACACAGTGATAATTTAAATAATTTCCTTAACACATTATCCAAATTCGAAACAAAGCGTGTCGCTCGCCCGGATTTGAGTAAAACGTGTGCTCGGTGTTGGCGGGCAAATTTTCCTGGAATCAATTACGACGACAGGATGGAGGAAAATTGGCAAAATATTTAAGTGTTGTAAAGAAGTTGAATTTTTCTTCATTGTCGAGTGAACCTCAGTCAATTTCGTTTGATTTGTGTGTTTGATCTTGATATTTTCGTTAAGTTGGTGTTTAGGATCGCCATTTTTGTCACCAGTCTCTTCCGTGATTTTAATTTAAATTTAAAATATACCTTACAGACTGTAGTAGATGTTTGTGTTTTTAATTGCTAATGTCAGGTTATATTATGCAGTAAACTTCGTCACCCGGGTTTGTGCCTGAAAATATGAATTATACGCGTAAACTAAAAGAAGTACAGTCAATCAAAATACTATCTGTACCTGGGGGGTTTGTCGATGAATTTCAGAATGAACACTGCCACTCCTGTTGTCTCGGTAGGGTTGTCAAAATCCTTCATCCAATGTCACATTTTCTCAACATAATTTTGTCTAGATAATTATTTTGATTGATTGTACATACTAGTTGTGGCGTAAGTAACAATATGAAAATATAACTTACTGTCCAAGGTTCATGCTAGGTTAGGTGTCTCCCGAAATAACTTCCCAAGGTTAGCTTGTTCATCTTGGCAATTAAGTAAACACTCGGCAGCACCAACCGATGTACAGGCCTGCGTGCTGCCGGCATCCTGGTCCCTGAAGCTGTGTTTTTTCCTCGTTGCAACTTCATTGTTCGTGTCGCTGATGTTATACCGCATTGCTGCTCATCAACAACTATTTCTCGGCATTATTTTAGTTTCGGTCATCCGGGGAATCATATGAATTAGGTTAGGCTGGTTAGGTTACGTGTCCAAACTGTTTTCCGGTGTTTTTTGATGTGTTTTCAAAGATTTGGACCGTCATATCTCGGAATCACAGTTTGGATATCTAAATACAGGGATAACCGAGACTAAATTTTTTATCCTATGGTCATTAAACGAGTATAAATGGGTTAGGAAGTAATCATGAACCAAAAGTTGAGAATTATAGTTCTGTGCAACTCTAAGTTAAGTGTAGCCTATCACTTAAGCTAACACCCGACGTTGCTCGTTTCAACACACATTATATATTCCAGTGTTTGAAGAAGGTTCGACTTGAGTGGGTGCTTAACTAACCGAAGGCCTGATTAACATTCAAATAATTATAACTCTCCAGCCTGTCTCGAGGTCGTTCTATATTTCTAAAGACTTCCGTGCTCTTCAACTACTTACTTTTGTACATTTCTTCATAAAGATAAAATACTTTACATCAGGAAAACGCTTAAAAGTACACGAGGAAAAAGTTTTGTGTATTATCAGTTTTGCGATATTATCTCCTGAACACACACCATCGTCGGCAAAACTCCTGCATTTTTTGTGGTGGATACAAGATTACTTTTTCAAACAGGATTTTTTATTATTATCATTATTATTATTATTGTTTTTGTTTTTTTGAGCGCATATCTGTATTTTAGAGGTATTATCTTTTCGGTCATCCAACCAGTTTTGTGATTTTAAGTTTAGTTTAGGTTGGGTTAGGTAAGGTTAGTTTCGATTAGGTTAGGTTATTGAATGATTCTGACCTACTGCCAAATAGGTGGATGACCGAAACGATATTTTTTTTTTCCATTTTTTGGGGATAAGGTTTGTACGTTAGGTCTGATAGGTTAGATTAGTTCACTTTTATTATCTGATATTCCCAGACCCGGTAACCTACACAGTCCATCTTAAACATTGAGCGGGATTGGCAACGCGGATGTCTCAAATTACTGGGATGTAAAAAACTTATGATGGAAAGTGTTATTCTGGTGGATATTTTTTTTTGTGTGTGTCTGGTAAGAAAGACGTTTATGATGTTTGGTGAAATGTATTAACAATTGATCATTAAGGGTTGAGATCTCTTCTCACTAGCCTAAAGAGGTTTTGAATCTGTCTTGTCCCAAAGAGGTTCTAAAAAATATCCCTACTGTCTCAAAGAGGTTCTAAATCACCCCTTACTGTCCCAAAGAGGTTCTAAATCACCCCTTACTGTCCCAAAGAGGTTCTAAATCACCCCTTACTGCCCCAAAGAGGTTCTAAATCACCCCCTCTTACCCCCACCAATTCACAGAACAGCAGGTGGGGGTGGGGGAAGGGGTTTCTACTGCTCCATAATGGGTTCTAAAGTGCTGTCTTCTGCTGCCTTAATAAGTGTGCTAAATCTGTGTCTCACTCTTGTTTTACAGAGAACCACAGGACACAGCGGGAGTATGACTGGCACAGAGTAAGCAAGTTGGTTGTGTTCGAGTTCGTCAACAACTTCTCCTCTCTCTTCTACATCGCCTTCTACATCCAGGATATGGACATGTTGTGCTCGGTGAGTGTCCTCTTCCTCGGGGTGAGGGGAGGGGGAGTGGATTCCTCTCTTAATCCCCTTAGAGAAGATCCTAGACTTGAGAGATGCCACACACTTTATGTTGGTCAGTCTCTTAAAAAGAACATGATTCGATTGGTAAACTCTCTCTCTCTCTCTCTCTCTCTCTCCAATCGTACCACAGTAACGGATGTGAGTTATGATTAGTTCACCACACACTCATCTAGCCTTTTCCAAACCTCATAGGCCGCAGTTCCGCATTGTGATACCGAGGTGACTATCTGGAGAGGGCGGTGGCGAACGAGTCATGGGCGTGAGTACAACACGTGGTCAATAATCTACCTCTTATCTGCCAGTTTATGAGTCTATCTACCAGTCTTAACTTATTCTTTAAAATTAACTATACAATCTATGTCATTTAGGGAGGCCACACTCCACAATACCTAAACTTAATTCGCAGCCTTTTGGTCAGGTGTAGACGAGAATGAGAGGTACAAGGTGTAAGTGATAAGGGGTCTTCTTTTATTGCTAATTTATGCAGTACAAGTTGAATGTAGCAATGCACAGCTTGAGTTCCTGTACAGCCAGTTTTGTTGAAGCCGGGTGAAAAGACGAAAAAAAACCCGTTTGTAGTTTTTTTTTCCGTTTTGTAAGTTTTCCTATTTTAAAATTGGTTTGGGCGTTAAGTAAAGACTTTTTTCTTAATAATTGTTTTCCAGTTTAGATTCTTTTATTTTTTTAAGACTTGTTGAACAGAAATCGATATTTTTTTTCAAGTACCTGTACAGTAATTAACTGATTTTCTAAAACCTGTTAGTCTCGTCTAGAAAGTTTTTAAGATCTGTTTTACCAGATGCTTCAGGGGCGTACAGTAGGTGAAGCTACTCAAAAATACAGCCAACCAAAGGTGCATCGACCCACTGTACAATAGTAATACCTGTTAGTCTAAGGTCACATAATTTAACTTTTTGAGACGCCCTTAACTCTGTGTCCGTTCTCTCGTATGTCCGGATACAGACACATCTGGCAAGTTAGTGACGCTGTACCCATACCGGAACCTTCAGCATGTAAACTTTCTGATAAACCTTGAACACTATGTTATTGAATGTGACACTGTCAAAGACTTCAGGCCATCTGGCTTATTGTGTCATGAATTATGAAATTACTACATTGAATCAGGAGTGCGTGAGGACATTCTTGCAGTCTATCCTAAATTTACTAGCCCACACTGATTAGTCCTCAAATAGAATATAGCACTAATGAAATAGGACTTATTTTGTAAACGAAACCCTTTCTTGTGTGGCAGTAAACAGTGGAAGTAGCTTCCTCAGTGTCAAGACCTGACAACTCTTCAGAATACAGTATAGGCAAATTATACCCCAAGCTTTGCCAATAAAGTTGTTAAACTCCTCCTCCTCGGTTTAGTATAGGTATGTGTGACTTTGTATAGATGTGCATAATTTTCTTAGTACATTCTGTATTTGTTTCATGTAAGTGAAATTTAAACTTATTTTCAATTACATATTAATAATTAAAGTCACCAGGCTTTCGATATTATTATTATTTCCACATTATTATTACCACTCTTAATCCTATTACTTTATTATTATTATAGATAACAATAAGAAGGTAGTCTTTGATTACCTCAGGGAGTTATGACGCTGCCTTGCCAACCTTGGGAGCTGGTGCTAGTTTAAAGGGTGAGGGGGGGGGGGTGCACACAGGGTGATAGCAACAAGGTTACCGGGGCTCTGGGCTGTCACCCTGGGCTGTCACTCTGGGCTGTCACCCTGGGCTGTCACTCTGGGTTTGTGGTGTGAGCAGGTGGGGACGCCCCGTTCTGGTTTTACCCAACAGCTGCCATTAAGTAATCACGGCTAACCCAGGCGACTGTGGATAATGGTCGAAAAACAGTGATGATGATGATGATGATGATGGATGATAATAATAATAATAACAATTATTGATTTCGCATTTCTCATCATTGTGTGTTCTTTACAGCAAGTGGCCACCATGTTGATAGTCACTCAGATGATCAACCACTTCAGAGAGGCCCTCCTGCCCTATGTCGTGAAGAAGGCCTACAACCAGGTGAGTCTTGTAAACACTTTCCTCGCCGCCTACGTCACCAGGTGTTTCTAAGTCGCTAACCTCAGGATTGACGATTGCTGGGACCATATTTAAGGATGATTTAAAGGGCTTATTTTAAGTTCGTTTAAGTATTGATTTAAGGGGTTGGGTTTTGTGTGTGTGTATGTTGGACGTAGTGATGGTGACGGCGTTGGTAGGTCGAGGCGCTGTACGTGATTGTGTTTTATCTGGCCTCCGCGAGATTAACATTTCGCAGCCATATTTTCCTCCTACGCGGGAGGGGGGATTAGAGGCTCTCCCATGTATATTTAGTTCACTCTCACCTAGCTTGCCCCCCTTGTGTTGTGGTGATGTTGGAGGTTTGTTTGTTGTTGTTGTGGTGGTTGTGTTGGTAGTGACTGTGGTAGTGGTTGTTGGTGATAGCAGTAGTAGCTGTTATTTACTAGTCATCGTTATCATTGTGGTAGTTCATGTTATCATCACATTTTAGTCGTTGTTATCGTCGAAGTCATTTACAATAAAAAATTAAATAAATAAACGGATTTAGACTTCGATTGTAAACTCTTTATGATGTGGACGGAGACAGTGTATTAGGTTTTATATCTAGAAGTGTAAGTAATAAGAGTGTGGAGGTCATATAGCAACTATATCTTGCGCTAGTCAGGCCGCACCTCGATTATGCGGTTCAGTTCTGGTGCCCTTATTATAGAATGGATATCAATTCACTGAAATCGGTGCAGCGAAGAATGACGAAAATGATTCCGGGACTTAGAAACCTTCCGTATCAAGATAGGTTAAAAAAACTAAACTTGCATTCCCTAGAAAGACGAAGAGTGCGGGGAGATATGATAGAAGTATTTAAGTGGATGAAAGGAATCAATAAAGGGGATATAGATAAAGTTCTTATAATATCCGAGCAGGATAGGACTCGTAGCAACGGATTTGAGTTGGATAAGTTTAGGTTTAGGAGGGAGATAGGAAGGAACTGGTTCACAAATAGGGTGATAGACGAGTGGAACAAGCTTAGCAACTTTATAGTAAGTGCTGGAACGCTGGGAAGTTTTAAAAGGAGGCTAGATAGATTCATGGATGATAGAAAGTGGTAGTAACTCTCGACAGGAGCTGCCATGTACAGGCCAACCGGCCTATTGCAGACTCCTTATGTTCTTATGTATGTTCTCTTTTCCTGTCCTTGTAGCGTCACTTGGCTCTTATCCTGTGAGGGGATGAGTGGCTGGATAAGCTCTTAAGGGGGTCATTACCAATCGCTTAAGGTCTGCTGATCCTCCTCCGTCCCCCCTCCTCCCCCTTCCTCCTCCCAGTGATTTGCAAATATATCTCTTGTATTTTGTTAGCTGGGTATGTCTTCTAATGGGTTATACTGTGGTAGTTTGTACTGGTAGTTTCGTGTGGCCTTAATGGTAGGTGGACCTGATCTGACCTGACCTAATCTCAAGTGTCGATAAAGTGTTATGTCTGGTTCACCATTGGCAGTCTTAAGTCGGTTTACCCCCTTCAAAAAATGCATCCTTTTGTCTTGATAACTAGTTTGTGTGTGTGTGTGTGTGTGTGTGTGTGTGTGTGTAACTCGTTCTCTGGTTAATTGTCTAAATGTACACACCATACTAAATTGTCTATACATATACACACACACACTCACCCACACACCCACCCACCCACCCACCCACCCACCCACCCACCCACACCCACACACACACACACACACACACACACCCACCCATCCACACACACCTTCACCAAGCCATCCACCCCGGTCCACAGGTTCGACATATTTCATCTTGATTTTCTCTCTCTCTCTCTCTCTCTCTTATAAGGATGTTACAAGTCATGCACCGACTTATCTCTCCCGACGAAGGAGCTATTTTTATCGCCATTTTATGAGGTGGTGCTTCAGCTGCCAAATGTTTTATCTGGGGGAACTCGGAGGTATTGTCGTCAGGTAGTCCACAGATTGTAAATACACCTTTTGACTTTTAATTTTTTTTTTTTTTTTTTTTTGGTTTGTCATCAACGTCTTGTGTTTGATCATAAAATATTTGGGAGGAGATTGGAGGAAGTGGGGGGTATAAGGGGTTGTGGGGAAAGGGTTGGGTTCTTGGTGTGGTGGTGGTACGAGGTGTGGGTGTTTCTTGGTATGGTAGTGTGGGGGGTGGGGAGAGAATCTTCTTGCTGTCTTAAAAGTCTTGAGATTTAACGTTAGGATCTGGAAGAATTTGATGAGTAAGGTAACCCTGGACGTTTCTCTAACCGGTTACCCTTAAGACAGCTAAAGGTTATCTCATGAAGATTTAGGAACTTTCGCTTATTTGAGTCCAACCCAACCCGTTAGGTGAAATAAGCTGGGGGTTCCTTACCACCACGAGTTCCCCTCAAAGTAGAATTAGGTTTCAGTAGGTACAGAGTCAACAACAGAAGCACAGTCCGTCCCATAACACGAGGCAGGTGATCTGGTAACACTGTATGGAGAAAGAAGAGTTTACACATATGCTCTTAAAGTCTCAATAGATATAGCTAGCTGGCTGCGTGGCTATTGTAGACTCAAAAGACTCTCTTAGGCTGATATCAACGAGTAATTATCATCTTTATTGACACATCTCATTGGGTGTCGTTCAGGTGATGACTGTAGTGGTGTAATATAATGGAGTGGATAGTTTTACAGGTGTGTTTGTGTTGTAATACAGTGTGGTCAGGTACTTCGGCGTGTAGAACCTGTGGTAGGAAGTGTGTGTGTGTGTGTGTGTGTGTGTGTGTGTGTGTGGTATATAACTCGAATATAAACACGAACAGCCATTATGAAGATTTTTATTTGTACCACCAACCTCTTAATGGCGTGGTGGGGGAGAGGAGAGGAGAGGAGAGGGGAGGGTAAAGACGTGTCCTCCATGTATAACAACCAGGAAAACTTGGCTGAATTCCCTACACCTCCTTATATGGAGAGGGAGGGAGGGGAGAGGCCAGGGTGTCGGAGGTGAGGGAGGGAGGGGTTGTCGGAGAGAGTGTGTGTGTTCGAAAGGAGAGAGGAATGAGATGATTGACTTCGTACACATCACCAGTTTACGTTTCAATATCAGCACTGGGGCTATTTAACAGCTATTAGGATATATTTATAACATTTTTTTTTTTAGTTTTGTACCATTATGTAATCTATACTTAGAAATTTTAAAGTATTTTCGGCGTTTGTAAATACAGCATAGTACAGGGTGGAGCAAAACATGTCTCTGTATATTTGTCAACTGACTTTACCGCGTCGCTCTTAATGTTTAATAGATTTACTCCTGTTGAAATATTTTGCTATTAAATTTGTCTTTGTTATGTTTGTTCATATTTTACTTGTTCATTTTATGGTTTAGTTTCCTTGTATAAATAGAAGTGTTCAACTGTATACTACTGTACTGATGTTCTGAGTGAAGTGTTTATTATAAGAAGAGGGATTTTAAGACGACTTTCCTGGTGCCATCTACCTGCGGGGGACAACACGTAGCGTCTTGCTCGCTTCGTAGTTATTTAATTCAGATGCGTTCGTTCGTCAGACGTTGTGGTTTAACAAACATGACATTGGCTGCCTTGTCATTCACTCCCCGTCCCTCCCTCCATCAATCCCTCCTACGACCTTCCTCACCCCCTCCTTCCACCTCCCTCACCCCCTCCCCAGCATCCACCTCCGTCACCCCATCCTACTACCTTCCACCTCCCTCATCACTTTTTTTTTGTAGAGAAAGGAGGGATGAAAGAAGACTAGGGGTGGGGGAAGGAAGTTATAGTTCGGAAATTGAAGAAATTTAGGAGGAGGTAAGTGAGGGCACCTTCTCACCCTCTTCCCACCTCCCCTACCCCTTTCCACCTCCCTCACCCCCCACTTCCCTCACCTCTCCCTCCCCCCTCACCCCTCCTCCTTGCCGGCTGTGTCCCCACTTGATATAAATTCCACACTTGACTGCGGTGAATGTCATCTGGTTTAGAAATTAGGTGTTTTGGTGGACACTTATTAGTAGTGACTCGTACATTTATATAAACTTTAAAAAAAAACACATATTACTTAACAGAAGAATATTACTTATAATTTAACTTGTCTTTACTTATATACAGTATATCTTGTTAGTAACTTAATAACGTCTTGTGCTCGGTGCTCTATTGCATGCTTTGTAAACTTAGAACTGGTGTAGAAAAAGTTTGGAACCTCGACCATACACTAGGTACCGTTGCTTCGAGACCATGGCATTGCAACACTTCCTAAATATAAACAAAACAACAACGAAATATTTCACCACCGCCATGTCAGTACTGTAGATGGTTTACCTGGTCTTAATTACCCCTTACGTTTGTGTGTCCACGTAAGAACAAAATAAAATTAAATAATAAAAAAATAAGTGGGCGGCAGGTCATATGAATTTTTTATAAGGGTTGTGGGTGATTGTGATACAGCTATTAGACTCAAGATAACCTAATTAGTGGGAGTATTGTAATTATGCTTCTCTTTACCTGGGAAATAAACAGTTAACCGGGAGTTTCTTGTTCGGTATATTTTAATACTTTGTAATTACTTGGGTAGATCTTTGTGGGATTATACTCGCTGTGTACTGTAGGTGGTATGTGATGTGGGGGTGTGTGGTGTGATGTGGTGTATGTGTCGTGTGATGTGATGTGTGTGTGGTGTGATGTGGGGGTGTGTGGTGTGATGTGGTGTATGTGTGGTGTGATGTGATGTGTGTGTCGTGTGATGTGGGGGTGTGTGGTGTGATGTGGTGTATGTGTCGTGTGATGTGTGTGTGTGTCGTGTGTGTGGGGTGTGTGGTGTGATGTGTGATGTGTCGTGTGATGTGATGTGTGTGTGTCGTGTGATGTGGGGTGTGTGGTGTGTGTGTCGTGTGATGTGATGTGATGTGTGTGTGTGATGTGGGGTGTGTGGTGTGATGTGGTGTGTGTGTCGTGTGATGTGATGTGTGTGTCGTGTGATGTGGGGGTGTGTGTGTGTGATGTGT